TGGGCCAGGAGCTCAACAACAGCGGTACCACAGTTGGGGAGCTTCCTGGGACCTGCCTCTGCTGCTCTGGACTTGGGCCTCTGCCTGTATCTGCATCATGCCTCCTGTGGTGGGTGCATTTTTCAAACTGCTTAGGTACCAAGGTGATAGATGCCTTGTAAATACCTAAGATAGATACAGACAGAAACTGTACCAGGCACAATCAGTTATGCAAAACTTAATACAATGCCAATTGCACCTATATGCTGTAGTATCACCCACCTTGTCTAGCATCTGCAGTCAATCACAGTCAAATATTTGGCACATGTATTTTTCCTTTTGAAAAGTGATAGGAACACAGTACATTCATTCTTCCTTGCTGCCAACAGGTCTAGGAACTTAGCCCTCAATGTTAGGTGCTGCATATGCACATGCTGTGCTTCATCGCCTGCCCTAGATATGAGTTTGCAAGTTCAGTTTAAATTCTTTCATTCACTGATATAATTTGTGTTTGTCAATAATCTTCAAAAATCAGTTACAGAAGCAATACTAAAATTACAGGGGTAGTACTTATGTGTGAGAGATTTATTAAAACTACATAAAAATATGGCTTTGATGCTGCTTCTGTCTTAAGAATTTATTTATTTTTTTTATTTTAAGTGCAGATGGATTGTTTTTAGCATAAAGACCAGAAGCTAATACGAGTATAACTGATATCGACCTTTACAAATTTGCCTGCGTGAATGAAAGTAAGCATATAAAAGAAGTAGGTGGACTTATTTCCATTGTACTCCTTTTAGATTTTTAATGCTTCCCGTACAGAGGTAAAAGACCGTGCCCTGCTTGGTTTGTGAAAGAACGGCTGGGAAGAAACTTGATAAATATACCTCAGGGTAAATGCTTATGTGTGTGAGGAAGTATTTTAAAGGACAATTTGGGCATACAGTATGTATGGGAATCTAGATGAAGTTTTCAAAATTCCAGAAGAGCTTTCCAATTGGGAAGGGGTAGTAGAAAGAAGAAAACTACCTGATCTCAAAAGAAAGCTTGATCAGACTACAGAAGTTCATAAGATGGTGTTGCTTGTGATAGAAGCAATTCTACTCAATGAACAGATCTCTAGTATCTCTGGGGAAAAACAGCTGACTCCTATTTGTAGACAGTTAAAGAGCGATCTTTGCCACATTAGTTATGCCTACTGGAAACTACTGCTTTTTTTAGCTAGTCAAACATGAATAGACATATAAAAATTAATCAAAGATCAAAAGTAGGCAAGGTATAACTAGGTCTTCAATATACTGCTAATAATAAAAAATTAAACTTAGCTAAAGCATTGTTTCAGAGTAAGAATTTTAAAGGTTAAGACTGAAATTCATATTTGTTGTTTACGATCATATTTAGAGGTAAGAAACAACAAGATGAGCCTACCATTATATCATGTAAATGTTATAGTTAAAAATATACAGAAAGAGAATGATTTTGTGTTTTCATTTACAAAATCAGGCTATCCTCATAAATCTGCTACCATGAGCACATTTTAATCTGGAATTAACTTGTTCCAGCCCCACCCCAAATGAGCAGTTTGCAGGACTGTGCTTAAGTCGCAGTGCCAAAATCATATATTTACCATACTGCAAACAACATAATTATTTCAGCAGTTAGCATAAGGAGGAAATAACAAAAGTGTTTTGCAATACAGTCAAAAATATAAGCCATTTGAAACACCTTCCCTTCATGAAAATTGAGTAAAAATATGTGTGTATTCTCTGGGACACAGTAAACTGTACAAAACACACTAAAATCCAAAAAAGGAAAAAATATATAAAATCAGTAGAACATAAAAGCTGTTTAGTGACTTAAATTAATCATTTAACGTCTAATAACTAAAATATAATTACATGATTTATAAGAATGACTTGCATGTATTCACAATAAGGAAGAATCAAAACTTTCTCAAAAGAAAGTCTTATTTGTGTTTCTAGGGTTGAAAGTATCTTCACATCAGTACATATAAGTCACATTTACATATTATAATCACACCATCGAAAGATAATTTTAAAGAAGGCAGAAAACTTGGCAAGTTCAAATTCTTGCTATAGATGCAATTTTCAAGTACCAGCTCTTTAACAGTACAATCGATTATGAAGCAATTAAACAGGCATTTAAATTGCACCTGCAATCCTGAAGCCTTACAATTCAGCCTACCTTGAAAGAGGAATGGTCATTGTTTAACACTGGTTTCTGTTTAAGAACAAAAACAAAGCAGAGAATATAGTCAATACCCACTCCTATCCTGCAAGCCAGGTGGAATTTAAGTGGCAGCCTGATGTTCTGTTTAAGAGACAGCATTTGAAAATTGAGCCTAGTCACAAAAGAAACACAATCAACCACAACAAACCAAACAGAAGAGGGGAACGACCTAAGACGCTTGCAGCCTTCTCTGTTCTGACACTTACTCTCACATTTCACACCGAGGGGAAAAAACAAGCAAACTATGATGAATTATCTAAATACATTTATTTTTAATAACGTAGGAAGTTAATTAACATGGATATATGAACATCTGAAGGGAAAAAAAAGAGAAATAGCAGCAAAGGGAGTTTTGAGATGAGGGAGATAAGACCTTCATCTCCCTGGCTCCTGAAAAAGAGAGAGAACACATTAAAAGTGTTGAAGTCTTCCACTGACCTAATTGTACCATGTTGGGGAAAACATGCAATTTTTACTATTCCTCAAGCACTCAAGATTTTGAATACGGTGTTTGATATTCAATTAATAATATCTGAATATAACAAGCGACACTCACATATGCCAATGTATTTCATTCATCTGGCTCCAAATGCTACAAAAACACGTTTCCCTTAACACTTACAATTCCTTTACCAACTTCTTTTATACCATTGTCTTGTCTGGCTGGTGCAGAAAGGCCTTTGAAAACCATTTCAATTACTGTCCTGTAGTAAAGAAAAAAAAAGCATCATGAAAGGGCGCTATGCATTTGAGACTAATCTGATAAACTCAGAATAATAATAGTGTAAACAAGGAGAATTCCCACATAGAGCCTCAGCTGACTTCTGCTCAGGTTTCCCAGTGTTTTCTGAATGTCAGTTAAAGCTGCCCACCTCGAGCGGCACAATCCCTGGTTTCAAGAAGTGTTCGATACTGAGAGTTACCTGTCAATTTAAGAATCTATGCCCACAGTTGCTAGAAATCAGCCCATCTCCAGCTAAGTGCCAATTTTTTTCAGTGGAAAACATAGGGTTAGCATTTTTCTCCTTGAACACGATAACTTTCAATATTTCTGTTTGAATGGGTTTTAAAAGCACACGTCACAGGCATGGTCCAAATCCTATACTTTCCTACGCTGGTGAGAGCTCCTCACAGCTAGACTACAAGTCGTAAGACCTCTGCCTTGCTACATCAACACAAACATGGGGCCCATATTTTGTCACACACATAATCAAAACTCCTCCCAGAGTCACTGCTTCATGAAGCATGTGAAAATGACATCTCGATGACAACTTTTATCTTATTATTACATTACTATCTCATTAGAATTTCAAATATGTAATGCAAATCAATTACTTACAAGGACACCCTTCTAGAATTCTTCATTCAGCCAGATGCTTTTTGCTCTCATCTTCTTAAATGCAGTGTCTGGTGAAGATCAGAAAACCTTCTTCCTACATACAAGCACTGCTGGTACTGGAAACTATCAAAGGAGTCCAAGCTGTGAGTGCTGAAAGAGTTGCTTTGGCGGTATTTCCATTTTTTCCTGCAGACAAATCTCCATCATCAACTCCACCATATTGAAATAAAAAAATGATTTTTGAACCTAGACGTCTTTGTGAGTGGTTTCTTCAAATAGTATGTAACACTTTAAGCTAAACCACTGTTTGGCATTCATTTATATGTATTTGCTCTGCAATTTCATTGTTTCAGATGCCACTAGAATGTGCCACCTTTGAAACAATGTACAACAGATATGGGATGAAGTGTGAATGCTTAACTGGAGACAGAGCTAATAATATTTCTTTGAATGCCATCAACTGATATTTTTCTTTTAAATTGCTGCTAAAACTTGAGGCCAGGTAGCTATACTCTGATGATTTCACATTTATTCTATATCTGAAAGGTGGTACTAACACCCAGATTGCTCAAAGGAGGGGAAAATCCTACCTCTGTATTTGATACTTTTGCCCACATCAAAACCCAAAGATGAGTATCAACACAAATACAGGGATTATTTTACTTTGAATACCATACCAAATTTAAAAACAAACAAAAAAACCCCGCCGCTCAGAACTGATGCTTCGCTTAACTTCTTTAAAGGTCTTAATAAGATTTTTACCTTAGCTTTTTAAAGTTAAGCATTTTGTCTATTTAAGTTTTTCCATACTTGTCCGCAATATTACCCCTGCACTAATTTCTCCATATTCACTGGAAATCCCCAGTTGCTCAGTAAATCAAACCCACTTCCTGGCAGTAAAAGCTTGGGAGCACGGACCTTTTGAATCTTGTCTCTAGACGTTTACAGATCTTAGTTTATGGATTTCTTCCTTAAGAAGCATATCGTTATGAAGTTATTAATCCACATTAAGTTATCCATAAACAAGTTAAAATGAAAACTGAAGGAAAAACCCTTCAAACACAAGATTTTCACAAGCCACACAAACTTTATATGATCAGAGTTAAAATTCTTATTTTAAAATTTTAATTTTGAAACTCTAATGATAGCTATTTTCTAAGAAAACTATGACTGAAACAAATGCATGAGAAGTTTCATGCATTTTAATGTCTTATTCTTAGAGTATTTTCAGATCTTCATTTTAATTTGCTGCGTGAATACTTTGATTATTCTTCAGTACTTATGGGATAACTACACATTACCTAGTGTTATATTGTAGGTGCTATCTCAGCAAAAATTGCTGCAACAGCTAATGGTTAGTTTATCTACTGCTACAACTCATTTTTGAAAACCTGCAAGTCACAAAAGAAAAAAGAATGGCTCTTCCTCCCACCCCGACACCCCACAAAATCCAGAAAGTAATTTTACTATTAAAAACGCACCCCCTCCAAACATGCATTCTGAGGCTGGATACTGTCCCTCTGATATAGGCAACTGCAGTAACCAGAGAAAGTCAGTGGCATACATGAAATACAGTTTACATTTTAGTAATTTGTGCTACGAAACTACAGTAAAATAATAATGCTGCCCAGGCCGCACTGCTGTGAGTTTTTTTAATGACCTGAAGATTTTACTGCCCATCTGTACTATTTTGACACAAATATCACGTTAAATCTTCTATCCTGAAGAGAAAAGTACTAGCCTAGGCTCTTCCCTTCTTCTATCCTCCCACCCAACTAGAACCTGCCCCCCAAAAGACAACCAACAAAACCAGTCAAACAAAATCACGAAAACCGTATTTTCCTTGTAACGCCTCGCTCACCTATAACCCAGAAAACTCTCTGGTTGGTTGACAGAAACCTCTACAAAAGCAGTGCAAACACTTGTGATATGCTGCCAAAACATATTTCTCAGAAGAATACCACTAGCAAAGGGGTTTATTCTGTCATAGTCTCTGAATGGAGAAAAAATACCACTAGCTGCAACCTCTGTTAGTGACCTGAAATGAGGTCAGGAAAGAAGAGAAAAATAAAGAGGAGAAAATAACTAATCTGTCCCGTTTTACACTAAAAAGATGCAACCAAAATCTTCACTGCTGAGAGAAGCCACTGCCTACAACCTAGCTTTCCTTTCAGTGATGCTCAACAACTTCTATGAGCGGGACGTAAACCGTTCTGCTGGCTCTCACCCAGGCCCCAGTGGGGTTTGAGGCTCGTCCTTGGGCTAGACGCCATGAAAACGTGTACAGCGACACAGGCCCTGCTCAAGAGAGCTTACAATCTAAGAAAGCAAAATGACATACAAGAGTATGGAGAAAATACAGCTAAACACAAACAAAATTCATATACATGTATATACAGTTACACTTACAAAAACTACTAGAACAGCATAACTATTTCTATCTGCCCCTCCACCTAGCCATCATTACTTGGATGATAAGTTAATAGGGATCACGGTGGATGTGGGTCTTAAGGAGAGATTTCAAGAAGGTAGTGACCTTATGAATCAGTCCAGGGAGGGCTTTCCATGCATACGGGACAGTGTGGAAGATGTTATATTGAAATCTTAAAATTGTGCAGAGCAGCATTTCTCCAGGGCAAAAATTCAAGGTGTTGTGTGCAAGATCCCTATTTCCTGAGACAGAGACAGTGTGGTTATGTGAGTAACGTCTGGCCGTTAAAAAGACAAGCGAATCACTAACGTAGGACTACACTGAGGCTATGTTACTTGCCACATAGTCTCCGTGGCCGCCAGTTAGCACAGTAACTGCGAGGAGATGATATGAAAGGGTTTTCGAAAGAGTTGGATACAAAGAAGGGAAGAAAGGTAAGATGAAGGAAAGGAGACAAAAGGAAGAAATGGGAGGAATATTTTCAAATATAGTCTTCTGCTTTAGCTCTTAGTGTGTTTGCAATTGATTAACTAAGTAACTAAAAAACATATACAATAACTAATGTACATTTGACACCATAAAATAAACTGGACCATATGCCAACATTTACAATTATGTTATTATCCTTCACTATGGAAAGGTGAGAAACAGGTTAAACAAGAGACAAAATGCTTCCCCTTACCCTTCTTCTTCCGTACTGAAGCTTGGAAATAGAAAGGGAATGAACTGTGAATCAATTCTGAAGGTAATTTTTTAATGCTAAATCCTTGCCTGTTATTTTGAACACAAACATTTTTCTTCCATCTCTAAGAAGTCACTCTCTCGCTACTAACCTGTACTATGCACTCATCTACTCAATCACTGTATAGATAAACAGCTTGGCCTAAGCCCAGTTTATCAGGGTTTATACCTTGACTACAGGAAATTGCTCCACTGCAGATATGAGAGACATATACAATTTACTTCTAAATTCATTTTAAAATGTAGTAATTTGGGCAACTTATTGATCCTAGGGCAATGAAATGGCTTAGGATGGTAGGGCAATTTCATACCTTTGCAGATCGAAGTGGAAAGGAGTTGTTAACACATTATTTGCCATATTTTGTGTTAACTCATTTGAAAGAGAATGGCTAAGATGGTCTGATATAGCACTCAACATTATGGAGAACAGAGTAGCTAAAAGTATGTCAATAAAAGCACAAATACAGTTCAGAGCCAGGCAAAAGAAGTGACTGGAAAGACTGCAAGATGTGTAACTTTTTTAAAAACTGGTATTATTTAACTCAGCTAGGAGAAATAACAAAAATATATACTCAAAGAGAAAGCAAATAGGGGACTTCTGTTTATCTTTTCCTTATCCTACGTAACAAGGGACATTCAATAAAATTAAAAAGCATCACATTTAGAACCAATAAAAAGGAAATACATTTGCACACAGCACATGATTAGCCTGTGGTATTCTTTGCCACGAGACATTGTTGAGACTATGAACTTCTTCAATTCAGAAAAGATTACACATATATCAATGAGAACATCCACAGTGTTCATCTATACACACCTCCTATTTATCTTATACAGATATATATATATAAAAAAAATGAAACAAATGCATATTGATTAAATAAAATAGTTTAACAGATATAAAAAGTGTGGGTGTTCTCATAGTTTATACAGATGTCCAATATATACACATATACATATATAGATATATAAACTGTATGTATATATATATGCGCACACACACAATCTGTGTTTTATGTCAAAAGACAACTTTTGATAGTGAGAAAATTTTCTCTCTGGAAGCCTGCTCAATTGTTGTGCAATTTAAGAATTGTTGTTCCTTCTGACAGTAGTCCCTTCACATGATAAGTATTAAAATAGGTACACCACAGGTGTTATCTGTAACAGTATTCATATTGTTTGCTAGGGTGGCAAATGTTCAGAGTATCGTGGAACTGGTGTTTACAGGCGTGTTTAGGAAGAAGAACAATTTCTGCCATGCTCTAGTATTACTACAGCTTTATTAGAGGACATATGCTTCTGGAGCAGGCTTCAGTACTATTCTTCAGTTCAGTAAAGTCTTGCCATGGTAACATTTGCCCCATCTGGATAAAGATAAGGAGGAGGAATGTGCTTTCAAGGACGTCCCATGGCTGCTAGTCAGAAGAGCTGCAATGAATGGTTCCTGAGAGCCGATGAGAACAAATAGCAGACCAGGTACTATACAATGAACAAGGGGGAGAGTAAGCCAAGCTACAATGTTGTTCATTGCAGAGCTGGCTTTGCTATTATTAAGCTGTTTTTCCCTAGAAAAGAGTGTTTCCCTAGAAAAGAGCATTCTTCACCTGCTTGAAGAATGGTGTCTACTACGTAAGATTGAAAAATAAGAGAAATGCAAGAATATTCCTCAGGGACTTGCAGAATGGGATAATGAAGGGGAAAAAAAGGTGCCTAAATTTTTCCCTCTCCCTGGACCCCTTAGGACTGTTTGCTGATAAACCACCAAGACTCTTAACATGCCATGAAAGGAAAACAAATCAAAACACCCCAAACCAAAAAATGGGGCAAGGGAGAAAATTCTATATTCTAATCCTGAAAGAAAAATATGGAGCATTCATAAACTGTGGAAACCTTTAGCCAGTCTCCTCTAGTTCATGGCACAAAATAATCTAATTTTAGGAGAAGATCTGTTAGATCTAAATAATCAGAATGCTTTATTTTGGTCTTCCTGTGGTTGTTAAGAGCATACAGAAGACAGTAACCAGGTCAGCACCCCTTCCTTGGTCAGAACTCCCACTGCAGCTGCATGCGTTTGAGTCACTAAAGGATGGATGGGGTCCATCTGCCCCAGAAAACATTGATGTCTAAGGGAAAAAAGTGGCTATTTATCCACAAGGCTTTGATTCTTTCCAGTTGGCCTTCATACGAGTCTATGTCAAAAATAAAAATGATTGCAGAATATACGTATTTAAATCAGTGTAGGATTACAGTCATGGAAAAAAGAGTTTTGTTGTATGACAGACTGTATTATTCTGCAATGAGGGATGCGGTTTGTTTTTATACTCAATATCACTTACTAAACACACTATTCTAGTGGAATAGCCATATATAAATATGCATTGGTTTTTTGTCTTTGCATATACAGTCCCATTTGTAACATATTTGTTAGTCTAGCTGCAGAAATACTGTTTTTTAATGACCTAAAATATTAGCACCGAAAAGAAAAGAACTATTACTTCCCTTACTTCTATAAAATAAATCAAAACTCTAGAATGCAGATGATCCACACAAAGGAATCTATAATCACGTTTCTTAAAATTAGCAAAAAAAAAACTTGAACGTTCAATACTTTTTTATTACCAATAGTGAGAAGAATTATGCTTATATCATGCACAGAAGTCAAAGTGATATCATAATATGCACTTTTTCAGATCAGAGAGTCTAAGGAAAACAAGTTGAAGCCGAAGCTGCTTTAACACTGTCAGCTTTTTAACAACAGCTTCTGGCAGCTTACCTTTATCCACTAATGAGAGGCCACAGAAATTTAAAATAAAACAATATTAGATGAACTGAAAATTTAGAAAGCAAAGCTAATAAAATATGATACGGCATTACTTTTTAGTAGATGTGCCAAACTTTGATGATGCACAAAAGTGTATAAACATTCTCTTGCATAGCAGTTAAGGCACAAGTTTTAAAAAAAAATTACTCATGCAAATCATGCATATTTGAACTCTCCAAAGATGCAGCATTCTTAAAACCTTTTCTGTTCTATTTGTTGTACACAGAGCAGTTCCTTTTAATCAATTTAACATATATTTACATTTTTACATTTCCATTATCCCAGCATGCTTGTCAAAAAATACTTTCTTACCAAGCTCTTCAAGCTCTGAGGTCATTGACTTAGACCGCAACGTCAATGCAGTGGTTGGAGCTCGCTTAGGAGGTGGTGGGGCTTTGCATTAAATAGAAGGATATAAAATATAAGTAAGCATACATCTCAAACGCTATATATTCACAAACACATTTTCATATTTGCTCAAAAAAATACATCACACTACGGTAATATTAAATACATACATGCAGAGAAAAAATCTCAGATGCTTTTCACGTGTTGAATTTCTGCACCATTCTACTTTTAGTGTAGGTTGTTTGACACATCAGTGAGCTTTTATGTAACAGGATACATAGAAACATATAAAGCTAAATCATTCTGCACTTCTGTTTTTCAGTAGGAAAAAGACTTTCTAGAGAAAACACCTCACAGCAGATATGCCTCTCCTTCTAAGAAGCGTACCTAGCTCAAAACCTCTTGGAGACCAGCTAAGCCTCTGCTGAGAATTAAGGATTCTGATGCATTTCGGTCAATAATATGCATCAGAATACACCACTTAGAAAATGCGTTGGCAAACTAATTTGAGGATGAGAAAGAAAGAGTGATGGAGGAAAGAGATGGACAACCCCATAGCAACTTTATCCACTAGGTCAGCATCACTCTTTCTCTGTTAGGCTCCATCATCTACTTACAGAGGCTTGAATGCACGTCATGAAAAGGCAAAAATATAACTCGGGTTCAGTGCCACCTACAGAGCCACATGGGTCCCACATTTATTAACTCCAGTTTGAGTTCTGTCCTTGCCCAACAAGACAAGTGACAACATATTTGTCAAGGAAACCACACAAACTGGTAAACAGGCACGGCTATCTGACGCTTGCCATCACCATGAAGGAGACTGAAGGCAACAAAATCCCTCCATACAATTCCCAAGCTAAAATGGCAGCTGACAGGAAATAAGAACAGCTACAAATTTGCACCAAAAAGGCAGAAGATTTCAAAAGTGAATGTTTTTGGCAAATCACACATTATCAATAATAGAGGGCTCTAGAAAGATGACAAAGACCGAGTGCTTGTTTTTAAAGACGCACTTGATCCTTCCCTTTGAGTTGCATACAAAAGTTCCTTTATGTAAAGCCAGCATGACACATACCAAACAACAGAGGTGAAAGGTTTGCTTAGAATGTGTAAACAGTAATTTCTATCAAACTAAAAATAATGCAAGACCATCTTTGGATATGATTTACTCGAAGATTTTTTTCTTTCTCTTTCTCTTTTTTTTTTTTTTTTAAGCAGTAGACGCCAAGAACTCTTGCAGTGTAGACAGAGAGTTTTACTCATGGACAAAGAGGGAGCCCTCGCGTGCCAGTTTCTGGCCTGTCTTGTGTTCAGGAACCAGGTGACTGTGATTAACATGGAGCATCTGGCAGGAGGAACAGGAATCTTCAAAACTCTTGCAGTGTAGACAGAGAGTTTTACTCATGGACAAAGAGGGAGCCCTCGCGTGCCAGTTTCTGGCCTGTCTTGTGTTCAGGAACCAGGTGACTGTGATTAACATGGAGCATCTGGCAGGAGGAACAGGAATCTTCAAAAATGTGATGCTGCTGTATTGAAAATTAGTGAGTAGCAGCCATCTTTTCTGCTTAATGATAACTATGAGGAATATGAGGAACTAATGACTTCTCAGAGGACCTTTTAACTGAGCAAACCTGGGGCACCTAAGATGAAGGAAACAGTTCAAAATGCATTTTTGGAAGTATTTTTTGCATGAAGTTTTTTTGGTGGGGAGGGGTTGGTGGGGAAAACTATACTGCAATTCTTAAGGGAGCAGTCCAGTCTTGTTATACAGGTCATCAACTCCATTAAGGTAATGCAAAAAAAGCCTAGTCTTTTAAATTGGGAAAAAACATTTCCCTGTTTGTACCCAGACAATTCTTTCTCAAAGCCTTTGTGACATGTGATGCTACGCTAGATTTTCTTGGAGTAGCTGCTTTCTTACTAGGGGCCACATGGCAGGAAAAAAGCTGTGCATCCTTTCTACTAACAGCAGGAGGAGGGGATTTTCCCTGGCTGGAAAAAACCCTCTGCTTTCAATCCAGGTACAGGGATTTGCTCACTGAAATATAATGCTTTTCTACCAGAACTTTAGTCTAGTTATTTTGCTTACTTTTCTTGTTTTCACAGATGTCCTTTCTAAAACATTTGTTTTGCAAAATTTTAAGTTCTCAGAGACTTCAAGAGGAGTCAAACTCACCCCATCTCAAGTACATTTGAAAATCCCATCCCTCTGCATATAATTTTCATTAACAAAAGATACTTTGTGATTTTTCTCCCTACTGCAAGACACTTGTGTCAAAAAGTTTGGCTGTAAGAACTTCAAACATCGCTGCATAAAGATCCACAAAGACAGAATTTGACAGTAAACACAGCAAGAGCCTGCTACCCTTCTTGTCACATATTTATGCCTAAGTCCACAGAGGCAAGTTACTCTAAACTAAGTAACCAAAGAGTACTGCAAATTAACAAGGGCAATTCGTAAATCGTAAGTTATAAATCAGGCAACTTACTGTCCATACCCTGCTTTCTGTGGAGCAACAGCAAAATGACTCTGTTACGAAAAGAGAAAAAAGTACCTTTCTTTCTAGCTGTGTCATCTGGATCAAGATTCCTGGTTACTGTGACAACCTTAAGAACTAGGTGATTGCCCCCTTGTCGAATCATGTTCACCACCTGCCTGTGTCCAACTTTCACCACATTCTCATTATTAACCTGTAAAGAAAGAAAAGATGCTTTCAGCTCAAAATTCAGAAAAATTATAGTCTTTCACTTTTAAAAGCAGAAGTTGGAAAGAACAGGAAACTGCAGAATTTCTGTTTACTGTCTTTTAATAAAAATATATTTTTTAGAAACAGCAGAGAGCTGACATGATAACAGGAAAGAAAAGCTAGCTCTTCATGAAATACATATCTTATTTCCTTATAATTGCTAGTTTAAAAGAAACACTGAATGAGTTCAACCAAATCTTTCCCTTTACGTATTATTTATTTCCTACAATGAGTGCGCTACAATTCTGTAATTCACACAGTAAAAATACTTTCTTAAATTATAGTCATTATTCACCACTGCACTATCCACAAATGTTTATGTGTATTCTTTTCCTTAATATAATTGATGAGATATTTAGAAGTTTTTTGGTTTTTTTCAGATCACCCAGGAACTAGCATTGTCACTCTTGAAATGAACTCTGTGTTCAAGAGGCATTCTTTTATTTTAGGCACTCCTCCCCTCGCTTCCCCACATTTCCCTTCTGCGTTTTTCTGGACAGTGGTCGAGGAAAATCTTCACGGAAAAAGATGAGTTAACTACATGAAACCCTGATCAGCTATTACGGTCATGCCAATGTTTAGTACTGTAACGTTACACTTTAAAATGCATCTCTCTCTGCTGGTAATTCCCAGTGCTACATCATCTTCTCTGCTGTATGCCTCTTTCCGTAATATTATTTCATAGGCATAAAAGAAAGTGATATTAATAACATCTGTAACTAACAACGTGGATAGAAGTAATTTATTTATTCAAGATGTAAGGAGTTACTGATTGTTATTTGAAATCTAAACAATAGCTGTATATAAGACTGAAGTGCTGCATGCATTATTTGAATATAAAAGACATTAAGGAATTAGAATCAGTGAAGAAGAGATACTGCCAGATTACATGTTGGGAATTTGATCTTTATCCAAAATTCAAGTTCTGACTCAGTTACATTGCACTGAGATCATTCTGTGCCTTCCAAAATGAACAGTCATTTTCAAAGTAAGTGTTTTTACCCTCCTCTATTTATTCTGACAGGCACGGCATCTCACACTCTTAAAGAATTTACAGTTTAGAGCAAGATCTCTCATTAAATATTATTGCTATTTAGCAAAACAACAAGCACAAGGAGATTCATTCCAACTGGAAATCATTTTTTCATCCACTGTATCGAAGGAAAATCTTGACTTTTTTCAGGCTTTATGTGAGACAATATATATTATGATGAAATTACTTTTTGGAAAACAGTATTTTCAATACACCGCTGCAGTCAAATGTTTCAAAGCACCATCCATGTGCTATGTCTGAGATGCCTTTTAAGACGCTTTTTTAGTTTCACATAAAATGACGTAGGTGTAACACATTAACACATGCTGAACATCCAGACCTGTTGAGCAGGCAAATATGAAGTTCTCTCATTCTGGAGGTGGAGGATATAAAAAAAAGTAGGTTTTTATAGGACTCTTGCTGTTTCATTTTGTACCTTCTTAGCGTCGGGTATGTCATTCCAACACGTGATATTTATTTAGGTGGACCAATAGCACGTACACTTAATTGGTCTAAAACATTTTAGCAAAGAGAATTATCATTTTGCTTCCTAAATTTTTGCCAGTATTAAAACCTCAACAAGGTAACGCTTTTCCATAGGGAAAAAGTATCCAAATAAAAACTACCGATTGCATCTACTACATTGTTACTGGAGTTAAATCTTAAGGGTTGAAGTCAGTATGGATTAGAATATATCCCCTAATGTTTTCCAAAAAATAAATGGAGACCTCCAAATGAATCAACAGTTAATATTAATCAAACACATGTACACTTTACTAAAGTGATAAATGCATAAAATGATAAACAGCTTATGCAGCATACCATCTGTTCGCATCGTTATGTGCAATGATGATATTTAACATTTAGAGCAAGAGCAAATATATATGACACGTTTTTTTAAAATCATCTCAGAGACAGAACCTCTAACTGAGTGTTTATAGCAGTTTTGTTTAAAAGACACAGTTACAAGGCTGGTACCAAAAAGATTTCTATTACAAAAATAAAAATATTGATAGGAGACCTGAAGAGTATTTGACTTAAAGAGTTTACAGAAATATTTGTTAATAAAAGAATCATGAAATCAGCCAAGTGGCACCTCATCTTTATCAAACTCTTTAGCACCTCAGTGTGTAAAACTGCAGCATGATTATACAGAAATGATGATAACAGAAGCTTTTAAGGAGCTAGGATTTCAGTGACAGATTCTCTATTTCTCTTAGTCTTCTTCAATCTTTTACACTTCAGCAAAATGACTGCAGAAATGCGTGTTAAATAGTACCACATCAGAGTTCTGGAGCCTTGTCTGGTAGTTTTAGTCTGACGTTACTGTGCAACACTCTTTAATACTTATGATATCTATTTTACCTGTGCCGAGCCCTTTAACAATACTGGTATCGAATGCGACCATGTTCTTTGAAATACTATACAAATATTGCTGCTTTTAGTTGCAAAGTGTTTAGAAAGATATTTCATAGAGTTAAACTAGCAAAGTCAGTCTGAAGGCACAAATTTCTCCCTCTCTTCCTCTACTTCAATAACAACTCCTTCCGCATGTTTTCTGTGATATTTCCCCGCAAAACCTTAGGTTCCTCCTTTCCTTCCACACTTCCCCAGAACTTTCCTTCACAGAGCTTTCAGCTTTCCCGTGTCTTTCATAAATAGGCAAGAATATAGAAATGGATTATAGAAACAGGCATGTGCTGTGGCTGGTTCCATGCTACATCAATGCCAACTAGTCATCCAGCAAGACAAATGTGAAGAAAACGGCTTCTTTCAAGCTTATGCTGAAGGCTTTCCCTTGGGACAGCCATTAATCTGAACAACTCTTCTCTACACACACTCAACTCGGACAATAGCTTCAGAACGTTGTAATCCTGAAACTCAGACTCTGGCACCTTTACGTTAAAACTGGCCAGTGGGCTCAGAAGCTACTGAGCAGTTTGAGAGAGAATACGATCTCCTAGACCCTATGTCCTTAAAAATAATCTAAAGCAGAGCTGTCTCAAGTGGAAGTTATTTTGGGGGTATGTATAAAATATTTATGCAGTGCTCAAAAGGAAGAACATACAACAATTTTGTGTATACTAGGATTTTTCACTTAAATGTCTCAGCATTTCTTTCCACCTTGTATACTCAACACACATAGGCTTTTTAGAGCTATACAATGTTACTAGACGGAAGAACCACGACACGACTTCAGAGCAAGCTGGGGATAGAGAGGAGAAAAATTTGTAGTGGATCATTTTTCCAGATAAAGAAATTTCCTAGTAGTAATACACTGCATTTCAATGTCTTGAAATAATACCAGCCACACAACTTACAACACTGTTTTTCGTGTACCTCACGTAACACGACCCTACGTGAACAGCTCAATGAAATGGATCCGATGTCACCATCTCAGAGTCAACAACAGCAGGTAAGAGATAGTGCTGCCTTGCCTCCACCCAAGTGACTGTGCCACTACCAGTTAGCTTACAGATAAATGCACTAACAGAAAATAAATGCAAACAAAGCAATGCTCATGCTGGTGGTCAGCATTTAGAAGAGAGATGGGCACCCTGGTCTACAGCTGCAATTGGCAGTACACAATCACAAGTGGTTCATCCAGGCACTTCTGGATACCTTGAAGGCACTGGATTTTCACACAGGACAGCGAGTAACACTTGCTGTCACCTCCGCAGAGTTAGGAGGTTCCATTCCTTTCTCCTAGCTGGGAACCTGGCCTCAGTAATTCACACAGCTGTCATTTCACAGCTCCTACAGCAACGCAACGTATTTGAGGAAGAAATGTTTGATTCTCCAGGCACAGGGCAGGCACTGTATCCCCTCACCGCCCCAGATCCCTGTGAGCGCAGCAGACGTCCTCTTCTCCCTCCAGTAACCTATCAGAGAATGCTGGAAACCATTCAGCGCTTTAAAGCTTGCATTCGACGTCTTTCACAGTCCGGGCTTGCGACTTCTTAAAACTACAAAACTGAGACTGTGATCAACGATAATGTTCCTCTTGCACTAAGAGCTTTGAGCACCAAGGATAAAGAGTTCTCTCTCCAACATGGGCATTTTCTCAATAGACAATTCAAAACTGTGGAGTGAACCAGGGTCAAAGACAACTGACCATCATAAATTTCATTATTTTCAATATTCAGGTCCGTCACACCAACTTTATCTTATTGAAGAATCACGCATAGCAATATCTAAAACCCACAAACCCCCAAGAATAGATACTTCAAGAACAGGTAATGATATGAAAACAGAGTGGTTTCTAAGAAGAAAATATCAATCAAGTAATTAAGCTTTTTCTGTATGAAACATCTCTTACATGCAAGAGTCCTATAAACAAATGATGATACATGAACACCCATGACATCCGTAACTCCACAGATTTCTTCTGAACTTTACGAAGAAAAGGATGCTCCTGTTCAGGTAAATTTACAGTCTTGCTAACGTTGGAGACAAGCGCATAGGACTGAGAATGACAACAGCCTATGAAATGGAAGTAGCTTAGAAAAGGATGGGACACCCACAGAAGCAAAGACGGAAGGCAGAAGTAGTAGTTAAAGCGAGATGAACGATAAAAGCATAAAGGTGGAGAAGCAGTTATCTTTCCTCCTGGTCTCTCTTGACAACAAAGGCACCCTAGATAATCCCCAAAGCAACAACGAGCTTAAATATGATGTAGTAAGAGAGAGGACCACAGTTAGATCCATGTCAGCGTAGCCAGAGAGATGCTAATAAGAGGCACAGATAATCATAAACTGGTTACTTCATTTATAATCATCATATTCACACAGCACTAAATAATCACTTATACTGCCTACAGGGCAGTATAGTACTTACTTTAGAGGCAAGATTAGAGAGAGAATTACCTTGAAGTTTGTTCAGGACTTTCCCGAAGATTAAACTTACACACA